TTGTTTCAACCTCATGTTAAATGGGGGACCACTGCTTCTTTTTCTCTTTTTCAGAGTGATTCTCAGAGTTTAGATTATGAAGTTTGAGAGTGGTGGAAAAACACGCTTTGGGACCACTAAAATGAAGTATTTTGTGAGGTTAGAACTGTGATAACAAGGTGAGGGATTACTAATAGCCTGGAAACAAATCTGGTGCCTTTTCCACCTGCCAGACCCACAGTCTGCATCCTAAAGTTACACAGAAACCGAATGAATGATTGCTTTATCTTGTAGAAATGTAAATTAATTGTTCAACAAGCTTTCCCCATTAGTTGAATGGTTGGCTTTCAGTTGGCATCTGAAACATAAACTGACGCTTCATTTATTTTTCTCTGAGGTAATGGTAACTCTAGAGTTGGACTTATATTTTGAATCCTATTTTAATCTTTATTTTTTTGTGTCCTAATGGGTCTGTCAAAGAAAAAGCCAGATGAGCAGTTAGTATTGGTATGAGACAGTTATTCAGATGAAGGCGTAGAAAGAGAGAGTGCGCGTAAAAGTACTCAAATCTGTCAGAAACAAAGGTACTTTTAATAATAGGTGTGCTAAGGACAAGTACCTGAAGATGTGGATGGGGGTGGGTCGCGTCGGTGTGATTAGAGGCATGTGTGTTTGCTAATTGATGCTTATCAAAGTTGCCTCTCTACTTCACTCTCCCACGAGACTGGGAGACAAGGGCTCTAATTCTTGCTGATGATTACATTCAAAGGGATGGCTCCCAGGTCTTGAGACATTTCTAGTTATAAGATTTATATCTCCAAGAACAGAGAAGGATTTCACTCTAAGTTTTCCTAAAGTAAGCACTGTAACAAAGAATGCGGTCAGGGGCCTTAGGTTTTAATAACAGTACATTTTACATTTTGGCAGCATTGGCTTTCTGGAGGCATTTAGGGGGCTGGAGTCATCCTAGGGACATGGCGTAGGCTTGATAAAAAGCTCAGTTCTAGAATTTGGTTTATGTCTTTTTAGTTGTGTGATGAAGAGGTTGGATGGAAATCATTTAGTGCTAGTTGCAGTTCTCAGCTACCGGATAAAATTTTTATACAAAATTTCTGAGGCCTACCATTTTGGGATATGGTGGAATTATATGGAAGGGGAAAGAACTTCAATGAAAGGGCAATGGTTTGGGGGCTTTATGCAAACAAAAAAAGAGGCAGAAGTTGATTCATAAGACCAGAAGCAGCCTTGGATTTTTTTATTTAACTCTAAGATGGATGGTAAGGATCAAGTAGTCCACATGGAAGGTTGAGAGATCATTGTTAACTGAAAATATTAGAAAGCTTCTTGAAGAGAGAGAGCACTGAGCTGAGCCTTGAAGGTTGAAGGGTGGGCCTTTCTTGGCTTACGCATTTTTATATTTCCATGACATCATTGGATTTCCATAGAAATAAATTATAATCTGATTATTTTAAATATTTGATTTTTTCTTTTTTTTTTTTTTTTGATTTTCTTTAAAAACACCACACACAGTTGATATTTCTCTGACTTTTTGACTCTTGATCTCTGCATTGGTTTCAGCCAGATCTTTTCAGAATAACTTACAATTTTTAAAATGTTTATTACTTAAAGAGACACACACACACACAGACACAAAAGCACAAGCGGGAGGACGGAAGAGGGGAGACACAGAATCGACAGGAATCTAGGCTCTGAGCTCTCAAACAAAAGCCTATGAGGGACTCGAGTCCTGGACTATGAGATCATGACCTGAGCTGATTAGATGCTTAACCGTAAACCACCCAGACAAAGTTGGATGCTTAACTGCTGGACCAGCTGCACACCATCTAAATTTTTTTTTTAATGTTATTTTTATTGAGACAGATCACAATGGCATAGGGAGGCAAGGCAAGAAAGAGGGAGACACAGAATCTGAAGTGGTTCCAGGCACTCTGTAACTGTCAAGCCCGCACCCAGGGCTTGAACTCACAAACCGTGGGATAGTGACCTGAGCAAGTTGGATGCTTAAACCAGTGGAGTCACCCAGTCGCCCCAGGATAACATGTTCTAAGCAGCTCCACATTTTGCACAATCCATTCTCTGCCCCAGATACTACCCAACCCCCCCCCCTCCCCCCTTGATACAACTTTAGTGGAATTGTTCATCCTTCAAGAACCCAGATGAAGTAGCACCCTTTCTTTGCTCAACGGTATTTTCTGCTTTTCCTCTTCTATTACAGTTCTTATTGTGTTTGTTATAGTTTGTAACGTCAACCCCCTAGTACAGTCTCTGGCCCATAGAAGATACTTAATGTTACTAGATGTGGTTAAATATAATAAGCTCTGAACTATGTTTTCCAGTGTTAAGAACTCAGTTATCTTATATGCATAGGTTAAATTTGGTAATTGAATTTTTATTTGTTCTTAGATGGCATTAAGAGGATCTGCGCCAGTGACAATTATACCTCTTCCTGGAGAGCAAGTACAGGTTCAGGGGGTCATCCAGAAGCTCAGATCTTCTTGAATTCACCACCACACTGCGTGCAACGGTATGAGGAAATTCAAAAGACTTAGTGGTTGAGAGAAGGGACTTTTATACACTAAGTCTTTGGACACAATTGAAGTTGCTATAGTTACAATATTATAAACCAAGATAGTAAGTTTCTAGAAATTAGCTATGTGAACAAATGAGGCAAATAGAAAAGTTTGTGAATTTCTAATTTCATGTATGGACTACCCAGTGAAAAAGGAAAGCAATTTGGGGGGAATTTATTGCTTGGAAATGAAGGACTTTAAGAGACAGACTCTTTTTGTCCCAGTGGTATCTTTCATGAGAAAGAGAATTCTGAAGCAAGGGTGATGGTGTTAGTGTCAACAAAGTAAAAAAAAAAAAAAAAAAAAGTACCTACTTTATGCTTTGTGGAAGTCAAATAAGAGCGTTCTCATAGTAGAGGCAAGTTCTTATTTATATCTGTGTACCTTCATATTACCAGCTGACAGGAGCAGGAAGGAAAAGGTGATCCTGGGTTCTTTTTCCTTCTACTCTTTCTCCCCATTTTATCTTCTGGCTCTTGTGAGTCTCCGAATGCCTCTGGTCATCCCTCATTTCTTCCTCCTGACTATTTAGTATCTGGTGGTGCTGTCAGCTCTAGAGCTGCATGTTTATGTGATTTTTCTATTTGAAAGGTGACAACTGCATGGATTTGTGAGTTTTTACTCTTAGTTGCTAGTCGTTAAATAGAAATACTTGATCTTAATTATATAAGTAAACTCTTAGTTCCAGAAATTATTTCTTGAGTTCATTGGGACACTTTGGAGTAAATTTAGGGACAGTGAAAATAGTTAAGGGTTTAGGTTAGAAATGGAAATCCATGATGCTTGAGGAAATATGGAAGGGACATATCTCTTAATTACTTTGGGTTGTGATCATTCTTTTCTGCCAAAAGATACAGATTTTAATATAAAATGTAAATAGCTGTACATTAGAACTTGTTTTTGAGGGAGATTATAGAATGTAAACAGATTTATAGAAATTTAAGATCTACATCTGATTAGGGAAGGCTTTCTGTAGATAGTAATGTAAAGCACTGATTTGTTAGGTCCTTTCTAGAAACCTGATTGGGTTATTTTATTTTTTAAAATAAAGATGAAGTATTTCCTTGTCTCTCTAACCCTCCCCCACTCAGGCTCTGTCTGATTCTCAAAAGTAAATAATAAACATTAAAATAAAGATGAAGTAAAAAACCTATCCATAGTGCAACTTTGGACAAATATTGGGAAATTTAATACATTCTAAAAATCGAAAATAACTTGTTTTCTTAATTATACTGTAGGGGCACCTGGGTGGTTCAGTTGGTTAATCCGACTTTGGCTCAGGTTATGGTTCACCGTGCGTAGGTTCTAGCCTTGCGTCGGGCTCTGTGCTGACAGCTCAGAGCCTGGAGCCTGCTTCGGATTCTGTGTCTCCCTCTCTCTCCCCCCCCTCCCCCACTCATGCCCTGTCTCTGTATCTCAAAAATGAATGACATAAAAAGAAAAGATACTGTTATAGTTTAAAACTTGCATGTGGTTATTATCGTGTTGACATAATTTTATAGGACTTATTATTAACAGTTACCATTTAATATGTCCTTGCTATATGCTATGCACTCAGTGCTTTACAGGTATTTGTGAAGTGAGATGAAGCCTAATTAGTAGTTTTCTAAGTTGCATGTGCTTATACCTGCCCTTGCCAGTGAACTCCATCTTGCTATACATAATGGTCTGTTCTCAGTCCTTGTTTTATTTCATCTGTTAGCAGTACTTAACATGGTTGATCATTCTCTTTGATACACTGCTTTTGCTAGCTGTCTAGGACACGTCACTTACCTGGTATTTTTCCTGCCTCAGTGGTGGCTTATTCTTGGTCTTATTTGCTGGTTCGTCCCCTTCTTCCCAACCTGTTAATGTTAGAATGTTCCTGGGTTTTCTTCTTGGTCATCTTCTCTGTGTATTGAGCCCATCCAGTCTTAGGGCTTTATGGACTACCTAGAGAGCTGTGACTCCCAAGTTTATATGTCTAGCCCAAGACCTCATGCCTGACTTAAAGGCTTGTATATTTAGCAGTCTCTGCAATGTTATTATCTAATAATTTGATAATAGTTGGATATCTAGTAGCACTTCAAAATGAGCATATCTGGAGTCCAAATCAGATTAATGATTTAAAAAACTGAGCATCAGTTTTTTATCAGTATAGAAATAGGGTGGAAATCAGAGACTGGCCTTTATAACTCTAGTTAAATAGTATTGCTTTATTTAGGGATAGACTTTCTTCTTTGTTCTGAGCATGCTGTATTGTACATTCCTTTAATTAGTTTGGGCTCTTGAAATAAATTTTGTTTTTTCATTTGCTCCTTTATTTTAGACCGTAGATTTAATGACAAATGAATTTGGTTGGCAGGAAGACAGATCGTATTTTCTGAAAGTAAGATTAAATTGTTTTCCACCTGCATTGTTTATCACCATAAAACCAGTTCTGTTTTTCAGGTGTCATCTTTATCAGAAAGTGAGGAGTCTCAGGACTCATCAGACAGTATAGGCTCTTCACAGAAAGCCCACGGGATCCTAGCACGGCGCCCATCTTACAGGTGAGTACTCGGCATTTTGGATCCTGTGTGCGTTCTATAACCAATAAGTTGGAATGGTGCTGTGCAAAGCAAACTATATAAAGAGGGAGCATGTGTCCGTATAGGATGGGAAATGTTAAGAGAGAGAGATTTGAGCCAGACTATGAAGGGCCTAAATTGCTGTGCTGAAGAGGAATTTAATCTTACCTTCTGGCAAAGCACTAGATTTCCATATTTACTTTTAGATAGTTAACTTTAAAAGCAACATGACTATAGATTTTAGGAATTGAACTGCTTTGTGTTCCCTTTCTTAGCTTCCTAACTCTGGGCCTTCGTCTTGTCCCTTTGCTGAAACACATTTTTCTGCATTCTGCATAATTCCTGCACATACTTTAAGCCTTATTTTCTCCTAGAAGTCTTCTGATTACCTTTATTCCAACTCCCAAGACCAAGTTATGTCTTTCTTCTGTGGCATTCCTTTTACTGACCCTTGTTACAGTATTTATCTCATCCTGTTGGGATTCCAATTAATAATACATGGGCCAGGGGTACCTAGTTAGCTCAGTCAAAAGAAAATGCAACTCTTGGTCTTAGGGTTGTGAGTTTAAGCCCCATGTTGCCTGTAGAGATAACTAAAAAAATAATAATACATAGACTGTGCTGAGTTTTTTTTAATTTTTCTTTTTACATTTATTTATTTTTGAGAGACAGAAACAGAGCACAAGTGGGAGAGGGGCAGAGAGAGAAGGAGACACAGAATCTGAAGCAGGCTTCAGGCTCTGAGCTGTCAGCACAGAGCCTGACGCGGGGCTCGAACTCACAAACTGCAAGATCATGACCTAAGCTGAAGTCAGATGCTCAACTGACTGAGCCACCCAGACGCCCCTAGGTTGTGGTGTTTTTAAAAAATTTTTTAATGCTTATTATTTTTGAGAGAGAGCATGAGCAGGGGAGGGGAAGAGAGAGAGAGAGAGAGACACAGAATCTGAAGCCGGCTTCAGGCTCTGCACCGTCAACATAGAGCCCAGTGCAGGGCTTGAACTCACAAACCGCAAGATCATGATGTGGGCTGAAGTCACACACCTAACTGAGCCACCCAGGCGCCCATGGGCTGTGCTCTTAAATAAGTTTTTGCACTGTAAAGCAATCATACAAGAGTAGATGCTCAATAATTACTTGTTGAACAAAACTAGAAGGTAGGAGGAAAGGGAGACAGAAAAGGATAAAGGAAAGGAAAGAGTGCGAGCAGGGAAGAGAAGAGAGAGAATCCCAAGCAGGCTTCATGCTGTCAGCGCAGAGCCCAACGCAGACCTTTAACCCACAAACTGTGAGATCATGACCTGAGCTGAAATCAGAAGTCAGATGCTCAGCCAAGTGAGTCACCCAGGTGCCCCTAGATTAATTATTAAATAAATTAATAACTTGTAGATTAACTTATTAAATAAATAACTGGAAAACACCAAAGATAACAGTAAGATCTTAAAATCTTCTAACGAAAAAAGGTAAATTACCTTGAAAAGAATGACCATTAGGCTAATAGGTTTTTGAAGGTAATATTAGAAGACAATGGACTATAAAATCTTTAGCAAGAGAAAGTAACTATTGCTCTGGAATTTTATACCCGATGGAACAATCACTCCAAAATAATGGTGAAATAAAATTCATTTCAAACTGATTTAAGAATTTACTAAAGGTTACACCTCAGGAAGAAGAAAAATGAGTCCAAATGGAAGGAATGTGAATATAAGAAAGAGTGGTGAACTAAGACATTCATTGATTTTTTTACTTTTTAGAACCTTTGATTTTTAGAACAGTAATGATTAATTTGTGTAGTTTAAAAACAAAATGCAAAGAATTATAGCAGACAGAAATATGTGAGATAAGGAATGGCTTATTAGATCCCTGTATTGATTACTTATATTGTTATTGATTAGATGACCTTAGATTATTGGAGGCAGTCACCAAAAGAATGCAAATGAAAGTTTAATTTCCAGGGTGCCTGGGTGGCTCAGTTAAGCATCCGACTTCTGCTCAGGTCATAATCTCCCGGTTCGTGAGAGCCTGGAGCCTGCTTCGGATTCTGTGTCTCCCTCTCTCTCTGCCCCTCCCTCACTCGCACTCTCTCAAAAATGAATAAATGTTAAAAAAAAAAAATTTTTTTTTTAAAGTCTAAGTTCCGAACAAGGGGGCTCTACCAGCACAAAAGTTCCTGGATAAAGTACTTGTTAATGTATTGTGCATTTACAGGAAATAATATAAATATCATATTCCCCCAATAATCATAAAAACCATATATATACTGTTAAAATTTAAGTGAGTAAATTTGAAGGTCTAATTGACTATTAAAGGGCACCATCCCCTCTGAGAAGTTGTACAAAATGGAAGATTTGTATATAGGAAAGAAGGAGGGACAAAAAAGTTATTGGTAAAAGAATTTTTCCAGGCAAGGTTATCTTTCTCTTAGGCCTAAGTGCCAGGAGGTCTTATCATTGCAGATTCTCATCTTCCTTTGGTAGGATGGAGAAAGCCCTTGTGACAAATTACCTCACTGGTGCTGATCTGAAACTTTCTGACTAGTTAAGACTACATTTTTGGGGGAAGGTTGAAACTGCAATTAGATTAAGTACTAACCCCCCCCAGTTTGGGGACTCAACCTAAGTGATGCCATTTAGGGCTGTGGTTTTCTCTTTTTAACAGTTCCTTCCTTTTAATCAGACGTTCAGCTTAGAGATGTGATCAAATTTTAAGGCATTAGTGCCACTCTCAGTTACCATTCAAAAGTTCTCGCAGTTTTTGTTGTTCCTTTTGTGTGATCTCAGACGTGTATGTACACGTGCTTAATGTCTGTGATATTCACAGGTCACAGCTTCAAGTTCATATTCTCTTCGTGTTTCAGTCTTAGATCATTTGTTTGGTGGTTAGTGGCTATGAACATGCATTTAAAGCTTTTGAGAGAATACAACGCACACAGATTATTATGATTCCTATAAGAATAAATCTCAATATTTGAAGTGCACTCTAGAGCCTTGGTCTCCAAGGCCAGTCCCCTACGCCAGTCAAAATCAAGTAAGTCAAAGAAAGAACCTCGTGGAAGGAGTCAACTTTTTAAAGCCAAATGTCTTGTTCTGTGATCTTTTGTAATTTTAACTTTTCAAAAGTGTTAATTAATCCTGGTACAACAGTAGGTGGTGTTGGCCACAGCACAGACAACTCCTTCTCAGCTAACAGATGAATCAAGACAGTCTGTCTGTTATCAAGGACCACTTTGGCTAGAGGATCCTAGCAGATAATGCAGTAAAAGTATGATCGTCGTCTTGGATAGAAACAGTCTACCTTGTTGTAAGCTACTTCTCTCTCTTGTCAATTTGATTTAGAGATCTCCAGCATCTGTACAAGACCAGATGGAGCCTTCTTTAGCTGTGTGGTGTTTACCCAGGGCTTAATACCTTTTAGTTTTGCAGCAGTGTCAGTAGTCAGGAGCACTTGGTAAGGTACTTTCTAACAGGACTTGAGAGCTGGGTGTTTGTTTCTGGGTTTTTTTTATGACCTTTCCAAAATACCAGTCACCAGGCTCCAGACTGTGACCAACAGGATCCTTTGATACCGTCTGGGAAAGCTTCTTTAACCTGTTGATGATAGGCTTTAGAATAAGACATTAAAGACTTCTAGTAACTGGTTATACTAGCATGAGACAGACAACAAGGAATCAGCAGAAAGTTGTACACCGGTAGACAGTGAGTGGTCTGCCTGTGACTGTCTCCTATGGAATGTATTGCAAATAGTGAGCAGAGCCAGTGGCAGCACTTTAGGCCAGCACCTTGCCGAATTCAGCAAGCTTAGAGATGTTGAGAACTTCATTAGTTCTCTCCACCTTGCCTGATGATTAAGGGTGATGGGGCAGTGATAATTCTGAGATATTTGTAGGGCCTTTATCAAGGCTTGAATGATTTGCCCAGTGAAGTGCGTGCCTCAGTGGAAAGTACAGCCCAAATATGGGAAACACGTTTTCTAAGGGTTTTGTTTGTTTGTTTTCCCCTGCTGCAATACTAATGCCCTCACCCTGGCAAACTTCAGTCTATCCAGAAAACATACATACACTAACAAGAAAATATTAATAGCCCATACGAGGTGGCAAATGAATGAAGTCCAGCTGCTTTGAGGCCTCTGGGAACAAAAAGTATTTCCAGGATTATGGATTTGACAGGTTAGACATTGATGGTAAGTTCTTTTTGCAATCTTCTAGAAGTCTCCACACCAATGTTTATTTATAATTGGAGTCCTCTTATACCATGGTGGGTGAAGAAATGTTAAAACCAAAAAATGAGATTTGCCAGAAAGTGAGAAAGAACCTAGAGGCCCGTCTTGGAGCAGGCTTTTGCCATGTTGTAAGGACATCGTGACAGCAGAAGTCTGGCATTTAGGGGCCATTTTGCAGAAGCAAAATCAACTTACCCACACATGGCCACAGTCTTAAAAATACAATATAAAGAAGGCTTAGAATTACTTATGTAAACTACATGGGAAGCATTGTCAAATATCAAATAAGCGTAACAAATCCTTTGGGATATTCCAAATCAAAAAGACTTTAGAACTTAATTTTGGGTGTGGCTGGCTCCATAGGTAGAGCATGTGACTCGATCCCAGGGTCATAATTTTGAGCCCCATGTTGGATATAGAGATTCCTTAAAAATAAAACCTTAAAAAAATAGAACTAAATTTTGGGGCACTCATCAAAAATATCAAATATAGGTTCTAAGGCACTTAGATCACAGATCATTCTGAAACTTAAAGGAGTTTTCACAGTATTACCAAAATCAGACCAAAGTCCAGGAGAACTTTGGTTTTTCCCTCTATTAAAACAACAAATTCTAATTTTACACCAGCTTACTTTTGATTTTAAAACTCATTTTTAGGGGCGCCCGGGTGGCTCAGTCGGTTAAGCGTCCCGACTTCAGCTCAGGTCATGATCTCATCTGTGAGTTTGAGCCCTGCATCGGGCTCTGTGCTGACAGCTCAGAGCC